CCTTATTTGTGCATCATGCCCCGTTCCCGTTCCCATGCCCGAGATGCCCGCAACCATGACAATACGTGGACGACTGATAGCCTCAGACACAGAACAACACTGTAAAGAAGCTACACTAGCAGTATTAAGGCATCTGTATGAAACCGGGCATAAGGCATCAAAACAGAAATTACAATACTGCCGGACTGAAGTAGTGTATCTAGGACATAGACTCTCCCAGTATGGTAGTTCACTGCTAGAATCCAGAAAAAAGGCAATACAGGAAGCACCCAAACCACACACGAAGCAACAGATGATGTCCTTTTTAGGACTCTGCAACTACTGCAGGGCATGGCTCCCAGATTATGCAGCCTTGGTCCAACCCTTACAATCCCTAATATACGGGAAAGACATGGCCCTAAGGGACAAAATTGAGTGGACCAGAGAAGGGGAAGCAGCATTCACAAACCTTAAACTAATGCTGCAACTAACACCACATTGGCTCTGCCAGACTACAAACGGCCCTTCACCCTATGTGTTGACGTGAGTCAAGGCTACATGAAAGCCGTATTGACACAGCCTTTCGGGTCTAAAGACAGACCATTGGCATTTTACTCCAAACACTTAGATGCGGTTGCAGCAGGTTTCCCCCAATGCCTACAGGCCTGTGCAGCAGCAGCCGAAGCTGTAAAAATGTCAGCAGAATTAGTGTTATGCCACCCACTCACTTTGAAAGTTCCACACTCAGTTTCATTGATACTGTTACAGACACCACTCCCCTTCCTGACACATGCTAGACACCTCACTCTAGTTTCACTTTTACTTTCACAACCAAATATCACATTGCAGAGATGTGGCCCTTTGAACCCGAGTACCCTCCTCCCATCAGCTATGGATGGGGAATCACACTCATGCAAAGCCACAGTAGAGGAACAAACAAAACCAAGACATGATATTTCTCAAACGCCACTATCCAACTCGGTAACTGTATTTGTTGATGGTTCGGCGTCAAAAGACAGTACAGGGAGAAATAAGGTCGGCTATGCTGTAATTTTGACTGATAAAGTACTTGAAGCTAATGCACTTCCCCCGACATGTTCAGCCCAAGCGGCAGAATTGTATGCTGTCATCAGAGCATGTGAATTGTACAAAGACAGATCATTGACGATATACACTGACAGCCAATATGTGTTCGGAGCGGTTCACCATCACTCCAAAGTATGGAAGAACAGGGGATTTAAAACATCGCAGGGCACCTCCCTAGCACACACAAACCTGTTATTACGATTATTTGATGCCGTACAGCTACCATCTGCTCTTGCACTATGTAAATGTAGAGCCCACCAAACTGACACCACCTTCACTACAGTAGGAAATAGTTTCGCAGATGCAACAGCAAAGGCAGCAGCACAGAAACAACCTACATTGAAAATGACGGATCTCCTACTGATTGACGCAGATATACTATGTGATTCTCAAAAACATGCGCCGCTCTCAGAAGTAAAAGCCTGGCTCAATAGAGGAGCAATCCAGATTAATGATATCTACCACATCGACGATAAGCCCGCACTTCCAAAACATTTATACAAAACAGCGGCATTGGTGAGCCACGGGAATACCCATGTCTCAACAGGAGGGATGGTACATATAATACATCAACATTTCTATACTATAAATTTTTCTGATTATGCAAAACACTTTTGTAGATCATGCCTCATCTGTTGTAACCATAATTCCCAGGGCAGACCAAAGAGAGGGCAGTTTCCGGTAGCAGAACACCCGTTTCAAATCATTCACATGGACTTTATAGAGCTGTCATGGTCACAGGGAAAAAAGTACTGTTTGGTAATAATTGATACATTCTCGAAGTGGGTCGAAATATACCCAGTAAAACACTGTGATGCGATAATGGTGGCAAAATGTTATTTCCCTACATATGGCATTCCCCAAACCATCAGATCGGATAACGGTACCCATTTTGTAAATCAAACAATGGACCTGTGCTCACAAGCGCTAGGATTTAAACTAAAGAATCATTGCGCATACCATCCTCAGAGTGCAGGATTAGTGGAAAGAACCAACGGTACCATAAAAACTAGGCTAAGAAAAACAGTGGAAGAGACAGGGAGGCCATGGCCAGAATGCTTATCTCTGGTAAAATTGTGGATGAGAATCACGCCAACCCCAGCAGGTCTTACGCCATCCGAAATAGTGCATGGTAGGCCTTTTCCCCTAGCTACAGAGATGAGTGACATAACAAAGGTGCACAGGGAAACAACACTTGCAGATTGGATGAGCAAACTACTGCGCACTCAAGAATTACAAAGACCCAGTAGTCTGCCAGTAAATTCTGCTTCTGTATTACAGGACAACCTCAAACCAGGAGATTGGGTTCTCGTCAAGGTCCTCCTTCGGAAGGACTGGAGCTCTCCCAGGTGGGACGGGCCGTATCAAGTGCTCCTCACGACCCCGACAGCCGTGAAGATAGCGGAGCGGCCATCGTGGATTCACAGGAGTCACTGCAAGCTCATTAAACCCCTACAGGAGCCAGTACAACCGACGGAGTAGCAGTGGAAGTCCGCTACAAAGGCGCGGTAACCAATAGGGTGCCGACGTCTCAACCCGGTGAAGAAACC